ACGATCGTTGGTTGGATAATTGTCAGAGAGATCAGTGTTTTTTTTTTTTTTTTTTTTGATTGAAAGATATTAAAGAAATCTTCCATTTCTTTATTGTATAGTTTCTTTTTAAATTCGATCGACTAAAGGATCGATCGATCGATTTCAAACTTTGATAGAAATCGTGGAAATTTATCGTTGATCTCGATGCATATAGATGAGAATAGAATATAGGTAGGGAGGGTTGGATGATTGTTGGGATTTGAGTAATAAGGAAAGATAGGTGTTTGGTGATGAAAGAGACGGAATATTATTTTTTATCATACGCAAGAACCAAAATTAATCGAATACTGATGCCAAGCTCGATTCTCTTTCGAAAACTTTTGATTTTCTTTTCTAAAAGAAACCGAATCAACGTAGATTAATTCTCTCTGACAGAGTGACAATATAAATCGTAAAGGAAAATCGTAGAAAAATTGTTTTAAACAATTTGGGCAGGTTTCGTAAGAGAATAAAACAGCAGCGGATTTGTAAATAAATCGAACTATATACACTGCAAAACGATACACTCGTATAAAAAAAGAAATATTCCAGGAAGTTATCGAGTTTCTATATATTCTAGCTTCGTATCCTCTTTCAATCGTTGCGGAGAGATACGATGTTATTTCTTTTACTATCACCTCTCAAGGGATTAAGAAGGAAGAATACAGTTCACTCACCGATATTCGGATGCTGCAATTTCCTGCATATCCGTGCCTCACGTTCCAACTTCTGAAAATCTGAAAAACAAAGAAGAGAGAACGATAACGATATAATAAATCAACGATGGAAAGATGGAAAGTGAAAGAAATTAATCATAATTAACTCGAAGATAAATACGTATAATTCCTACGTGGATAGATATTAAAAGATCGATAGAATTAGGATTCGTGAAACGACGAATTCCTTCGACTCGTGTCCGAGGAGCTCGAGCATATTCCTCGAGCGTATTCCTAAGGCTTTATCGAGCGAAAATTTCACCATAACGGGAAGCAATAGCAAGTACAGTCATTACCGCGAAATCGAATTTCTCGACGGGCTCCCTTGACGAGTTTCCTCGTGGCCAATTCACCAAGGACCGCGATAAAATTGGATTTCTCGGAGGCCAAGTCGTTTCGAGCACGATTTCCTGTTTCCTTTTTCCGTTGTGAACGTCCCTTCTTGCGATTGAAGGGCCCATCCATTCCATTTCGTCTATTATCGTTATTATATTATCTTTACTTATTAAATACCATGCGTTTCCCTTTTTCCAAATTTACCCCTTTCGAGTCGAGCATCCCTCTGCTCCTTTAGGCATATTTCAATTTTCCTGTGTTTTCTAGATTGAATAATAATTGGAGATTGTACTGAAACGTTTGTATATATTTTTAATTGTAGCTTTGAAAATTTATTGAAAAAGAAGGGTGCACGTTTATATAAAAAGTCATCGCTTTAATATTAAATAACAGTATAATTAATTATTCGTTTCTTTAATTATTCATCAGTTCTTTATAATATTCAAACTATTATATTCTCGTAACAAGAAGAATATTTCGTTAATTCTTGACATTGATGAAGTTCTTCCATTCCTTCAAAGCAAAATATCCAAAGTATCAGCCGCCTTAAATCCTCTTATATCATCATCATCATCGAGTCGTAAATGTGAAACGAATTAAAAAAAAAAGAAAATAGAAACTGGACGAATTATAGTGCAAGTTTAATAATTTAATCCACTTATGAAAATCGTTTCGAGGCGAAAATACACGAATACATCCAAGTGACAGACGCTACTGAGATGTAAATAATCATTCCCTCGGCTTTGAGTTGAAAGAAAGAGGAAAAAAAAAAAAAGAAAAACAAAATCGAGCATCTTCTTTCCCATATTGCTATCGCTCTTCCTCGCCTATAATTAAATCTCCAACGAGGCTCGACAAAATCTTCTTTCGTATCCGCGCTAAACAACCAGAATTAACGAGCATCTACCGACAAGAAAGAAGAATACAAGACGAGG